AGAATCAAAATGTCGAAAATTAATTCTATTAATGTCAGATTATGCGCATAAAAAATAAAAAAATCTGCAACCTCACTATATCACATGATTTATCTAACGTCATAAATCTTTAGTTTATCCCACAGTTCTTTATTTGTGAGTTTATCTTTGATCTCGGGTTTAAAGGTTAGGCAAGGTATACGCGAAGGTTTGAACATTAGAATAGTCTTTTAAGCATGAAAAGACAGTTTTAGCACTATTCTTGCTGACATAAATACTTTGTGGAAGAAAGGAAACTATCATTATTTACTAAGCAGAATATATTATAGAATATTAAATGGACATTTAAACCCATCTATAATACATATACATATTATCATCAACTTCACTGAGATTTTTTCGGTTAGTAGTCAGTAAAAAGCATTAACTCTCGATTCGATTCGATTTATTCGATTTTAATATCAAGTAAGAATTGTTGTATTGATATAAAATAAAAAGTAATCGTCAATTGCTTAATTTATAGATTTCTAAAGTTTCAGTTAGTAATCGGTACCAATTCTGCAAATGTCGAATACTCGTGCATTACATTTTTGTCATAGACATATTAAATTACTTACCTATATATTTTAGTAATAAAAAATACAAAAAAGAAACTAGCTTCTCATACAAAAAACGTATCTGATAATATTGGCGCCAAAACAATCCCCGCACTGTCAATATACATGAGCTTGAAAAGTACCTTAATTGGTGATTGGGGACATACAAACAATATTGAATCTGAACGAACTGATGTTGCACACTCACAGAAACATATAAAAATAATAACTTATCCTGACTGGGAGAGAAAGCCTTTTTTTTTTTTTTTTACTACATTCACACAACGCCATCTAGTCCCAAACTAAGCAGAGCTTGTACTATGGGTACTAGACAACTGATATAAATACATATGCACTTTTTTTTTTGTAAATACATACATATTATACATAGAAACACCCAGACCAAATCAAACATTAAATGTTCATGCACACAAATGCTTGACTTGAGCGGGAATCGAACCCGCGACCTTTGGAATAGCAGTCCGTTACACAAACCACTACGCCATTCGGTCGCCTAAATATAATATAATATTGCTATCTCGCTTCGACGATTTATGACATAATCAGCCGCGAGTAAATAGTTTTACTAAGTATCCGTAGTCCGAATATCTATGAGAATAATCAATTAACTAAAGCAAAGAATGGCAGAAGAAAATCAAATACTCTGCATGCACCCATATACCTTATTCTAAAGAATAAATATTTCCTGTTGTACAGGCCAACAAGTTTTAAAATGAAAACTAGATTCAATTTGGCGGCAAACATACAAATGCAGCGGAAACTCCACAGGAAAGTAGCGCCAGGCATATTTAAAATGATATCAGTGTTTGATATATGCATTTACATTCTGTGACTGACCCAGTTTTGTTCCTATTTTATACGAGCTTGGTACACTTACATACAATCCTACAAATAATAATTTATCTTATTATTCGTAGATACAATCACTTTATCAGGTGGTTTGTTAAATAAATAAGTTGATAGTCATCACTTCATTGTATTTTCATTTGCATAAGTTTTGAGTATAGAATGAATAAAATGTCTACACGTTTGGACATCAATCTAGGGATTTAATGACTGAAAAGGCCCAAGAAGATAAAAATTGAATATAAATATGATTCTGAAAGTTCTCTTCGGGTAATAAATTCAATCCTTTGCAGTTATAGGTTTTTAATTCTGTGTCTCTTATTTTAAACACAAAACATAGCTGGAGAAGATATCTCTCACAAAGCCAAGTGAGTTCAAGCACGATTAGGATGTAACTTTTTTTTGACGAGGGGGGGACCCGGAACATGTTATTTCAGGTCCCCCCAGATCGATGCCGCGCCTAGTAAGGTCCTATCCCAGGGAAGGATTAATTATTGAAGATCTCTTACAAGTACAATACAGAGATACATAGAGTACGGTCCATAGAGTGAATAATAATAATAATGACCTCAGACATCTCACACACGGCCGTCCAATATTTATTTATTAATACATAAATTATAATAGATAAATGACACCTAGACACAGAACGAAAATGATCGATGATGAACATGATCGAAAATAATGAAAATAGTAAATACATACTGTGTTCCAAACTGAAGCTGACAAATATGTACACCCGTTTAGTGTTTGTGACCAGGTGGTAATAGAAAAAGAAATAAGAGATTAGAAAAATAAAATAAAAATACTTTTAGCTTTAATTTAAATACCAATGAAAAATTTAGTTAAAAGGTAAAAACAATTTAAAATAGTGTCAATATCCCTATTACTTATACACACTGTTAATTTATACACATGTTGCTACCTTGACTTATAATTGGTTTTTAAAACCTTCATTTATCTACACAAAACAAATCGTTTTTTTATATAAAGAACTGTCTAGGGTATCGTTAATATTACATTTTAAAACAATAAGCGATTAAAAACTTTGTACTTGAATGTACTCAAATAAAATGATTTGGAAGCACTCTGATTTAATTGCATGAAGACTTATCATTTCGTAGTTGTACAGTAAAATACCGGCAGTTTTGTTAGTACGTAAAACATTCAACAAACATTAGTTGATTGCACAATTTTATGAGTTAATTTCCTTCCTACATAGAAAACAATAGCCTTTTAGACTAGTTCATACACGTGTGTTTATATTACAATGTATATATAGATATATACATTTCATTTTAATAATTGATAATGATCTTGAAATGGGAGGTCTAAGAAATAAGATTATAAAACCAAGTGAAAGAAAAGAGAATCGCAGTAAGAATTATCTTGAATAATAGCAGAGAACATTTACGATCACTTCACTTTTACATGAAGTTATGTTGCCAGACAGACTCGAAGATATGCTGATATACGTGGTTTAAGCGGTCGCCACGCTGCTTCCTACTACGCCGAGTGTTGTGATCTCAAATCCCACATGGGACGACACTTTGTGTTATACACAAATTGTTGTTCTGAGTCCGGGTGTTCTTTGTGTCCGTTCATGTATGATTGTAAAGTCCCCCGTGACACAGGATATATTCCTAATGCGGGAGTTGTCCTCTAAAAAAAAATTAAACAAACCCCTCTTTCAGCGCTAGGGCAAAAATAAATGTTTTTGTTTAGGGTACAGGCAGCCGTACAAGCATACAGAAGGCTAATACACGTAATAAAAGTTCGGTCACTTTGATCTCACCAAAGATATTTTAGTAGTAAAATAGTAAATTACTAAGACTAACAGATTATTGGTTCAATTTTCGGTTACAACACTATATAATCACATTACAGTTAACGTTGGATACTTTACTACGAAAATACATTTTATAACAGTTGTGAGATCGAAAGTTGAACGGAATTGAATTGATATCGAAATTATATTTATATTATTATTTTATTACAAGAATTGGCCTTCTGGTCACCTGATGGTAAGTACGAGTAATTACCGCCGCCCATGAACATCTGCAACTTAAGAGTCACAACTGCAGTATCGCGATTTAAATTTCTCCAAGAATCAGGAAGTGAAGGGTTTGTGCTTCGGTAACCTCACTCAGTCCGTGAAAAGTAGGAAAGAACTGTTTAACACCGGTTTTCTGTGAAGCCATGGTATAGTACTCCTCCAACCGTAAAACATCCTGTCAGGGGTGAAAAGGAGAGTGGATGCTTGTATGGGGAATACCATAACCGCTTAACCGATTTATATGAAATTTGGTATAAAGATTGGTTTGATTCTTGAGGAAACACATCTTCAAAAGCTAGTACTCAAATTAAGTAAAACCACAGGTAAACAGTTTGCAAGAAAATATTTCATTTGGATAATGGCACTCTGCCATAGCACACCAATAAATTTAATTCTAGATTAACTAAGAGGCTCACGGCAGCCGAATTTCATACAGAGAGAGCCATGAGCGAAAATTAGTACACAATAAATAAAGCGGGTTAAAGCCAGACAGAATTTTATCTTTAAGTTAGCAACTGCTTCAAAAAATCTACGATACAATCATATTTATGTTTATTATAGGGTCGTGTTTTGTATCACATGTACAATATAATACAGATAACTTTAATCCACCGATAAACTCAGCAATGAACGGACGTGACAAGAAATCATTGAGACACGTATTGAAACTTGAGTGGTTATAAAGTTTGTTATAAATATGGTAAAAAGTTAAAAAAATTACATGTTAAAAAATACTTAAATACAATAAGGGGATATTCAGTAGACAGTAATGTAGAATATTGGATATCGTTAACCCGTCTTTAGTTTAAAGAGATTACTTAATAAAAGGCCGTATTCCAAATATCATAGTCAAAGAAAGTAATAATAATACACAAACGGTCGTCTATTTCCAAACTAAGCAGGGCCTGTATTATGGTGACCAGACTGCTGACAAACATTCTTAAATATAACTAAATCATATTTAATAATAATAATAATATATTTTATTGTTCTCTCTCACACAGATATGGTTACAATAAACAATCTTACTCTAGGTTATTTTGAGTGAGTCTGTGTGAGAGACTGGTATCTGTACTAGGTTCGTAGACCTGTATGACAAATTACCAGCCTCCCCTAGCTCTGGACAGTTGTGGTGCATTAAGCAGGTACAACCTGTTTAGGAGTGAGTAGTTATTATTATGTGAAGTGAATGAGAACGCATAGTATGTGAATGTGTGTATATGTGGGTCTGTGTGTAGCGTGTGTGTAGGGGAGTGGGTGTGTAGTGTGGTTTGAGTATATGTGTGTGTATTTGTGTGGATCCTAAACTCTAGGGGGACAGCGCATTTCAAGACGGGACCTGTAACAGGCTCTCTGTTTCCTCATAGCTAAGGGACTTTAGCCAGCAAGTGGCAGCGGTTTTGCAACCGTATTTTCCTGGCTCAAAAGTCGAAATAGCTGACCAACAGGCCAGTCGAAAGCAACTAAAGAGCACTAAACTATCTTATCTTATAAAAATGAAATCACAAATCATCATTCTTTTCTCCATCAGAAAAGAATTCAATACGCAATTGATCCCAGAACTTCATTCTCTTCTGTTCTGGTACGTTTATTATTTTAACAGTTTTTCCAATGTTTAACCCTCGTAGACCTTTATGTGGTATCAAAGGGCTCCACTGCAAGCCTTCTAAGACTTTATCGCCAGTGTCAAGAGTTGGGTTCCTGGAATTCAACGTTGAGAAAATGTTTTGTATTATAATGTATTAAGTTGAAAAATGGACTTAGGTAATTAATTTAAAATACTTGTAGATATTGAAAGGAACGCACATCTTTAGGTACATCACACATTGTAGGTTACTTTTTCTTTTTTATTATTAGTCTATTTTACGCCTTTGAATTTAGTTTTATTTAGAGAAATTATACTGTCTCACTTTTTGACGATATTCTAAAACAACAAGGAAACTTTTACGCTGGGGTTTTTAAACTAATACAATTATATAAGATAATTCTATAAGATGACTGAAGAAACCTAATATATTATGGTACTTTATTTATTATATTTAAAACAATACAACTATATAAAAGATATTACAGCAAATAAATAAATATTACGTCAACTTTGGGGTAAAATGCAGCCCAGAAACCAAAGAGAAGAAATAAATAATTCATTGGAAAAAGGATCCAAATAGATTCGTCAAATTAAAAGCCTAAAGCCAGCAAATTACCTACTATTACACAGGTGTGTAACTTAAAAAAACGTAATATCATAAAAGCTCATTTATATGAGTAAACAATTAGAAAATAATTTAAATTTGAGAATGCAAGCCTCTTGGCCAATTGGACTCTTGACTTTAAAATTCATTAAACCGCGGAAAAGAACTGATATTTCGGTAAATATTTATTCTGAATTAACCTTACCCGTGTTTAACGAAATTTGCCCATAGCCTCGCAATCTTCTTAATGAGAACCTTTTCACTCGAATCCACCGTATCATAAGCATGACTTAACGACTTACATCTGAATTGGTAGCAGATTTCATCGCTTTCCGTAGCGCCATTCCAGTTTAAATTACGAAGAAATGTATTCCATACGATATTGAAGGATCCTCTATAGGCGAAACGGTACAAGTAAACATTATTACAAGATACTTTAGCATGTAGACGCGCCTGCTGAAGGATCGGATAAATCACTTGGTCAGACACGTATTTCGCGTAACGCCTCAAACTTCTCTCTTCAACAGTTCCATTAACGAAATAGAAATCCATTATTTGTCTTCTAATCTTTTTGTACAGCTTCGAACCGTACTCGTCTCTCCTTCCTCCAAACGGTAGTAAATACTGAAAGTTATAATTTAAATACTTTAGAAGTTTCTTGTTTCTAACAAAACCTTCTAGTTTGTACAAAGAATTTAAGTTTGTGTATCCAATCATAACTTCTACAACATTATTGGTAATTTTGCGTTTGTATATCTGCAATGGGGGCTTGTACATGAAAGTGGTTGTTCCTGATATTTCGACTGTTGGTCCGAATGAATTAATTAAGCGCTGATTGTCTCTTACTTCGGTACTGTCAAATAATTCTCGGCTTGCTAATAACAATTGCCGAACAGTACCCTCTTTCAATATTTCGTAGAAGCGAGTTCTATTAAACTTTTCAAAAGGTCCATTAAGATTCCAGTATAGTTTCTTTGAAATTTCAAAGTTATAAGTTCTATAATCAGCGGGTGATAAAGCACAACCATCTTGTATTATTACTCTTCTGAATAAATCTTCACTTGCAGGTGACAATAAAAGTGAAGCAACTATATTAGCATGAGTTCCAGAGCCAAATACTGTGACTTTGTTCAGATCACCATTAAAATAACTAATATAGTCTCTGATCCACCTTAATGCAGCTAGTATATCTTTTGCTCCCATGTTTCCCTCAGCGAAGCTGTCTCCAGTATTGAGAAATCCAAAAATAGAGGTTCTAAAAGAGACTGTTACAACAATAAGACCTTCATCTATAAAAAAATCTGGTGCGTGCATGTGGGACTCTTCATGAATCCATACTATAACGGCCATATCATATATTTCTTGGTTAGCAGGCGAGTAAATCGTAAGATACAAACAATCTTCAGTGTGGCCAAACTCACAGTTTTCATTATACGGAGTACTATAATTGTACATGGTTTTATCAAACCAAGGTCGAATTACCGGTGCCTGAAAAAAGAAATACAAAGTGCATAGATAGAAATAGTTTGTAGCTAACAATAATAAATCTTGTTGCGTGTTACAAGGAACTCTCAGAGCGTGTTAACGAATAGGTATACTAAAAGGATAAACCCGAGTATGTCTTCCATTCTACATGCGTTATCTCTATCCAGATGGCGGTAGTATATGTGAACCCATCAGAAGTGAAAACAACTAGGAATAACCGATTGTTTTTCACTTTTATAATTAATAAATCTTAACGTCAAATGTTTACGTCAATAACAGATTCATTTGTGTGTATTTTTTAAATGTTTTTTATCACAAATAACAAAATTCCTGAATTTAACACTAGGTAAAAATAAAATAATACTATGTTAGTAAACAAAATATAATAACAAATGCTAAGTCTTTATTCGGGAAGTCGTTATTCATTTCTCTAGTTAAAAAAAAATTTGAATTTTTCTGACACACAGCAATTACCTCTTTCTAATTAGTACCAAAAATATTTTTTTAACAAAATGTAAAGTAGTTAAATAGTAGGAAATAAAAGCCTTTTTTATTTTTTATTTTATTTATTTATTTTAATTAGTACCAAAAATATTTTTTAGTAGTAGTAGCATAATTTATAGTAGTAAATTAAAATTACAATTCATCCTCATCAATTTCCCGCCTCATTTTTTCTTACAATTATATTTGCTGCCATGTGTAACATGTAAATTTTTTACTGTTTTTTTTAATCCAGTATTTTTGCCTGACAGTAACCTTCTTTAGAAATGTAACCGGTTTTCGTCATATAAACTGAAAAAGTAGATTGAAGTATTTTTTTTTATTAAAAAATATAATTAAAACACTCGCTAACCTTAAATCTTAATTTTCTTATAGGACGCCGTGCGTAAGGTATTTTCCAAAATGCAACATAAGGTTTGTTTTCATACACCGTGTAGAGTTTTGTTCCAATTATTTTAGTTCCGTTTGTTTTGATTTCGTAGTCAGAAGCAGTATTCCCAGTATAAAAGGTTGTGGTAAATATAAATATGCAGACTAAATTCATACTTAACAATTGTGACTTTTTCGATTTTAATTTATAGAGTGTGTAGAGAATCGTCAAAGAAACTACACCTACTGACCGATTTAAAGAACACGTCATTTTAAACATTAATAAAATCCATGAAAATGTTTTCAAAATATGCTTTACTACTACTACAATCCAAGAACCTTGAAAGAATATACACTGATAACCAATTGGTCTCGTATATGAACTTCATACCTCTATTAGGACTGACATAAAGTTAGATAGGTTAGATATTGTTTGGAAAACTTTCCCTAGAGGAACTTAACTTGTAAGTACATCTGCAAATAATATTCTCATAATAATCGGTAGTATGTTATAAATTGATTCATAAATAAAGCAAAAAAAAATATATATTCAATTACAAAATCTAAATTTAAAGATGTTCCGTTTTGAAGTTCTCTTTTGAAGGACATATTAAAAGAGAGGTAGGTAAGAAAAGAAGGTAACGGTAGGAAAGGGTGCTCATCAGGATGGATTGGGGATTATAAGTAATCCTCCTTGTCAAAACTGGTTGGGTGACCAGGACGGCTCCGTGGCAGGCATTGGCTCTACGGCGGCTTATTTCCCGCCCTTGTCGCTAAGAGACAAAGGCACTTTATATGTTGCTGCCGAGTGAAGTGGAGTTGACTTCTCCCCCAACCGGATTTTGAGCGACTTCGAGGTTTTCCTCAATGTAGGTTTCCCCAGAACGGACGCAAAGGGCAAGGCCGTAGAAGAGTGGGCGGCCTCAGTTTGTGTCTTCCAAACAGAGGCTCACTGAGACCTACTAGAGGAAGCAGCCATCATTTGCTCTTGGTTGTCTAATCAAGCTCCGACCGAGGAGGTCGACATGGCGACTGGTCGCTTTCGCGATGCGATTACGCAGATCTGTGATGTGGCCGGGTCATCTGCCTCCTAGGAAGGAGGTCTACCGAGAGGCGCGGAAAACTCTGAAGCTGGTCAATAGCCACGCCAAAGAAGTAAAAAGAAAGGAGATGCTGGAGGGTCTCGATCTTGACCCCTTTTTTTTTTTTTTTTAACGTGTGGAAATCCCCTCGGACCGTCACCCCTCCGGGGTTTGCGGCGGGGTGGTGTGTCGGACTCGGACCGACTAAAACCACACGGTGTGCCACTCTGCGCCTGTAACAGGAGGGATCCGGGAACAGCTGTTGTTAAGACATCCGGACCCCTCCTAGCGCCAGCCCGCTCCTGGTGCGGGCTCCGTCTCAGTGTTTTTCCTCTCTTTATAGGCGACGTCCGGCACACGCGGACGCCGCCCCCTCGCGGCTGGCCAAACTAATGCGGGTGGAGGGGAAACCCACCCCGTCCACCCGCGGCCACACTCAGGGCGGCATGAGGCTGTGATAGGCGGGCCTCCGCCGCCCGGTTCGCCGGCGGCGGATCGGGTCCGAGTGGAGGTCGTCCTCCCGGGCCCTCTCCGCCGCCTCCTTCCGCGAGATTACTACCTCGCAGAAGGTTGCGACCGCGGTAAAACAACTGTCGCTACCGGCCATGGAGCGTACTACGGCCGGTAGCGAGAGATCCACTCCGATGACTGCAGTGAGGGCCCGGCGCTGCGCCGCCCATGCGGGGCAGACCGCCAGCGTGTGCTGGGCCGAGTCCTCACTGCAGTCGCAGTGGTGGCAGGCGGGACTCAGTTCCCTCCTAGCGACCGTGTGCAGGTACTTTCCGAAGCAACCGTGCCCGGAAAGCACCTGCGTCAGCCGGAAGGAAAGGGTCCCGTGCTGCCGCCCTGCCCACTCGGCGATGACCGGCTGGAGAGCCTCCACGGCGGCGAAGCCAGCGCGTGGAGTCTCCAGCCGGAACGACCAACGAGCCATCGTGGCTCGGCGAGCGGCTTCGCGCCACTCGCGCACATCCTCGGGCGGAGGGCGAAATCCGCTCTCCGCCCGGTAGTCAGCCACTCGCCGATAAACTTCGGCGAGCACTTCCGCCTCCAAATCCCACGGGGGAGTTCCGGCCAACGCGCACGCCACCTCCGTCGAAACGGTGCGGTAACCGCGTATGGCTCTGACCGCCATTACCCTCTGAGGGCGCCAGAGGCGTACCCTATTCTGGGCGGTCTCGATCTTGACCCCTGGGGTAACCCTTATTGCGCATGCGACAGAAGCTCGAACGGAGAACGGGGATGATATTCCGCCATATTTCGAACAGGTTAGAATCATGCAATTAGTGTTGAGTTATAGGTATGCACTTATAACTGTCCGTCTGGTGACGGATTACGAATACGAAGTGTCACCACCACAATTCATCCCGTGGGTGTCGTAAGAGTCCACTAAGGGAGCAAACTCTCGTTGTTCGTGCTAACGAACGGACGTGTCGCTTGTGCAGTGTGCGTGGTATCGATATCAAATAAAATATTACTGTTTTGTGTGTTACGAGAGTTCAGAAGTGTCAATGCCTAAAATTTCTCGGACTCCTACTAAAACTGCAGAGGCAGAAGTCCCTTCTTCGGACAGATCTGCTTCGGATGCCAAAGGAAGGCAAACACCCATAACTAAATGGGTTGGAACACGACAGGGTAAGAAGAAACGGAATGATGAATCAGACAGTGATTCATCAATTTCGCAAGAACCGAGACGGCACAAAACTGCCTGTTGCTCCCCTGACAATGCCCTGCTAACAATGAAAGCTGTTCAAAAAGAAGTCAAAGCAATGAATACTCTTCTTAAATCGATGAAAGAAGAACAAGATTCACGCTTTTTATTGCTTCAAAAGGATGTGTCGGACATTAAGTCACAAGTGGGTGAGTTGAAAAAAAATCATACTGATTTTGAGAAGACCTTAACTTACCTTGCATCCCAGTACGATGAAATGGAAATATTTAAAAAAGAAACTACAGAAACTAATAAGAAAATGGAAAATAGATACAAAGATCTGATACAACGAAATATAAACCTAGAAAAATGCAATAAAGCACTAGAAGAAAGATTAGGATACTTGGAACAAAAGGAATTGGATAAAAATATTGAACTAATGAATTTAACAATGCAAGAAGGCGAAAAGATAATAGAAGTGGTCAAAAAATGCGCCGAAGTCTTAAAATTAGATAAATCAGAGATCGAAAATGCGTGGAGGGTAGGTTCTGATAAAAAATCTGTCCGACCTGTGATTGTAACGCTGCGTACGAAAGCTGCGAGGGCAGAATGGCTTAAATGCCGAAAATCTCAACTTACCAATAACATGATATACAACAATAGTGACACTTCACGTATATTTATAAACGAACATATCACACGCCAAATTAAACAATTATTTTGGGCCACAAAGACTAAATTAAAGAGTACTTATAAATATATATGGATACAGAATTCCAAAATATTAATTAAAAAAGATGATCACGAAAAGAAGATACATCAGATACGCTTTGAAAGTGATGTCGAAACCTATCTACAACAAGACAAAGAAAAACTATAAGCGTACTTAAAATTACAAGTATGTTTGTGTTATGTTACAGGACTGTGTTATGTTACAGGACTAAGGAATGGTACAATTATATAAACACAACGGAAACTAAACTACAAATTCTCAGCATCAATATATGTTCCATTAGAAGGCACTTTAATCGATTAACAGTCTTGCTACAAAGTGCTTTGAATGCGATAGATGTACTATGTCTCACAGAAGTTAATATTAGACATGATGAAGTATCCCTGTATACAATAACTGGCTATAATATGTACTCACAAACCCGAGAAAAAAAAACGAGGAGGCGGAATACTTGTTTATGTAAAAAATAATCTACAATACAACCCAATACAGTGTCGTACTGCCTCGACATTTGAACTGATATGTGGTCAACTTAATAAGAACGCATACAATACTTATTTGTTGACAGTATACAGGCCGCCGAACACAAACAAACGCACTTTTACCAACGAATTAGAAAATATTATTGGAGCGTTACCAACGAGCACTGACTGTATACTGGTAGGCGACTGTAACATTAATTTATTGGAGAACGAACTGACCTTATCAGCAAACAGATATCTAAATTCACTAGCAAACTTAGGACTTCAATGCGGCATCCAAGATATAACACGCGAAGCGGTTGTCGGGCAGCGGCGAGTGGCGTCATGCATTGATCACGTCTTCATGCGGAATGCAAGTGGCGGGGCGCGCGATGTCCAAGCGTATACACTCGCAACCCGCATAGCCGACCATTACGTAACAGGTATATCAGTTGCAATAGATAAACAAATAAATGCTGAGAGTGTTAGTAAAACTAGATACGATAATAAGGCAATAAGAGAGAAGCTTAATAGTACCGATTGGTCATTGTTGTTACAAAGACAGGATCCTAACGAATTATATACAAAAATGTGTGCAATTTTTGGCGATATCTATAACACTTCTAAAAAAGAAAAATCGAATTACTGTAAACGCGAAACACAATCGTGGGTTACTAATGAGCTACGCTTTCTCATAGTTGAAAAAGATAGGTTATTCAAGCAGTGGAAAAACGATCCTAAAAATAATAATAAACGATTACAGTATACTAGATTCAGAAACAAGACACAGAAGCTTATAAATATGGCCAAAAATAAAAGCAGATGTGAAACAATTACTGGATGTATGGGAGACTTGAGAAAAATTTGGAGTAATGTAAATAATTGGCTTGGAAGGACTAAAACAGGGGTAGATTGGGTAATAGAAAAACACATGTTAAAACATGATAATTTGGAGACTATTTGTAATAAATTTTGTGAAACTTTTACGTCAGAAATAGATAGTATAAAACATAAATGTCAACAAAAATTTTTAGATAGAAAAAGCTATGTTGAGGATTCCAATGTTAGTATCAGATTTCAAAAAATACAACCAAAAGATGTGAAAGTTGTTATAGAAAAATTGGACTGCAACAAGTCGCCGGGATCAGATGGGATCAGAATGCGAGATTTAAAACAAATTAAGGACCAAATTAGTCCAGTAATAGCTTATTTTATTAACAGTTGTGTTGAAAAGTCAGAGTATCCGGAGGAGCTAAAGAAATCGATTGTCCGCCCAATATATAAAGCGGGATCTCATCAAGACTATAGTAATTATAGACCTATTGCAATTCTTAATACAATTAATAAAATTGTCGAAAAAATTATAGTTAAACAGATTACCACTTTCTTAGAGAACAATAACATATTAAACGATGTTCAACACGGTTTTAGATTGAATAGAAGTACTAGCACTGCTTTAGAAAAATTTACAGATGAAGTCAATAGGAGTCTAAATGAAAGGAAAATAGTTATGGTTATATACATAGATTTCAAAAAAGCATTCGATACTCTGGATCATGACGGCTTGTTGCAAGCCATGTACGAATGTGGCATAAGAGGTCCAATGAACGCGTGGTTCAGAAAGTACCTCGAAAACAGATCGCTCAAAGTTTGTGTCAGTGGTACAGAAAGTGTGCAAGGTGCGATAAAATTCGGTGTTCCTACTGGATCTGTTTATGGCCCGTTAGGATACATAATACACGTCAATAGCATGTCTAATGTACTTAAAAAATGTAAGGCATTCATGTATGCCGATGACACATGTTTGGTCTATAGCCATGAAAACATCAATGTCATTCAAGAAGCCATGCAAAATGATTTTAATAGTTTGGTACAATGGGCCCATGATAATGGCATCATAATAAATATGAAAAAAACGAAGTGCATGATCATACATTCCCCTTATCATAAATGTAAAGAATTTTCAATTACTGTAAAGGGTCATACGTACGAATGTATGCATAACTATATGCTACACTGGCGATGCTTAACTTTGGAGCGAGTCACCTCCTATAAATACCTAGGGCTAGTGGTGGATGACACATTGACATGGGACCTACACGTATCCAACGTCTGTAATAAACTTCGTTCCATCTTAGGTAAATTAAAAAACTTACAATATGTTATCAGTAGAAAATTAATGTATACGTTGTATTATGCCTTGGCTGATGCAAGCATCGACTACGGTTTGGGTGCATATGGACTCACATTTGATACACATTTGAATAGAATATACAATTTGCAGATAAGGTTGCTAAAATTACTTATTGATAGAAAAACAAAACAAGGCGTAAAAAACGATTACTGTAAACTATTTAAAATTTGTAAGTTACTTCCGGTCCACCTTAAACTAAAGTTAAACATTTTAGTTACACAATATAACAACCAAGAGCACAAAATACAACGTGAACATATGTACCCAACCCGTCTAGCCAAAAAGAGGAAACTTGTCGTTCCAAAGATCACGAACTACTTCGGTAAACGAACAAGAAGCTATATGGTACCGTTTCTACTCAATGAATTGCCTTCAGATTTTGTAAAACAGGTACAGACAAAATTTCAATTTAAAAATAAACTTCACAAACATTATCTCTCGTTATGTCCATAACAAATAGCTAATACCCGCATTGCCCGTTTCATTACTTTTGAGACATAGTCTACTAGTATACGAGTACTTGACACAATAATTGGAAATGTTAACAAATTTTGTATTAAAATACCTACATTTATATTATTATGTATCCGTAAACGAGAACTACTGCCGACAAACTGTTTTTACAGTTTGGCAGACTTTAAGCATGAAAAAGTATGTATTATAAATGTTTAATAAAGAGAAAAAAAAAAAAAAAAAAAAAACAACGCAGAACAACAGCACTGCAAACAGAAGGAGAACCTGAAACAAACCCTATAGCTACCCGTCTGGCCAGCGTGGTATAGTAGGCAAAATCTCCTTTCCAAGAAGAGGCCTATGTCCAGCAGTGGACTATCAAAGGTCTTAATGAGAATGATGATGACCCATAACTGGAACTGACTGTGCCCGGCAAATCAGAACTCTCTAACCATATTAATGTTATACATATTTTCAGTTATTTGGCAATTGCTTTAGGAACAAAATACCATTGCGTGTAAGATATACTCGTACAAGACCGTTCATTATGCCCATCTAAAAGTGTTTTTAATAATATTAATTGTGGAAGTATTTGGCTGAATGAAAAATTCAGCTTCGATGCAGTTTGAGTTCGGTTCTGCAGTAGAAGTTTTTGTCAGTACTAGGTGCTTGGCCGTTGAAAATTGACTGTTTTGAATGTATTTTATTGTTTAATTGAACAGTATGTCTTGAACTATAATTGTATAGTTTTAAGTAGTCGTTTTTTACATCATTTTCTATCTTTTCAAACACATATTGTTTAAAAAATGTAACTTTTGCACTTTCTTCTACATCTAAACGTTAAGCATTCCAAATGTTTATTTAAAAAGGGGTACAAGAAATTTTCTTTACGTAGTAAAATATAAACTAATGTGCTTAGGTCTCGAGATCGATCTCCAGGTCGGACCAAATGTTTGTATGATTTGCAAATATTTGTTTCAGAACTTAGGTGCTTTTTATGTATAATATGTATGTATTTACAAAAAAAAAAAAGTAAGTCAAAGTAAGTCAATCTAGCTTTCAAAGCATTCATGCATTTTATATAAAATGCATTAGAAATATATTAAATTAAATGAAATAACCATTACACATACTACTGCTTGAATGACACACAACATACACCCACTTACTTACTCTTTTGTTCATGGTTAAAATCTAAAGTCAAACTAAAGGTTAATTTTATCTAATATATAAAATTCACGGTGTGCGTGGTTGAACTACTCCGAAACGGCTCAACCAATTTTCGTGAAATTTTGTGTGCATATCGGGTAGGTCTGAGAATCGGCCAAAAATTGAAATAATGCTTATGGCAAAACAACTTTTGCCGGGTCAGCTAGTCATAAATATAATATATGATGAAACCTTTGATTATAGATGTATTTGACAAAAGAACCCTAATAAACTTCAAACTTAAAAATTAAACTAATTATGGTCGAATTTCCACTACCACTAGTATTATATTATTATGGATTAAACTCATTTAATAATAGAGATAAATTAATTAATAGGTCAACTGAATATTTGCCATTACACTATGAGTATTCGTGACATTCGCAGCTGGCTTATTCAAAGAAAGTTTTAATTAACGAGGATCATAAACCTCTTAAACAACTGGATTTTAATTGTTACATAACTCTATTCCATTTAATACCTTTTTGTTTAAATTAGAGTATTGAATACTAATAAAGATAAAAGGTATTGTTAATAATCTGATAGCATTTGCCAACTGAGTCACTTGTGACCGATAATTCATTTCACGTAGATGACTATGAAAGTTATGTGTTTATAATGTTTAATAAATTAATTTTTGTTTCCTTTTCTACTTTAGTACTGTGTAATAATGTATTGTGTCAAGAAAATCCGATAGTAGAAACTCAACATGGACAAATATCCGGCAAAGTATGGAAGACTTTATTTAAAAACATCAACTACTTTGGGTTTCTAGGAATACCGTTTGCAGAACCACCTCTTGGAGAACTGAAGTTTATGGTATGATGCATTTAATGGTGTTTACTTTTTTTATATCGATTTACGTCCACATTGTGTTTATATATTATGAATAATAATAAAAACTACCTTGACCTCCGGCTTAGCAGTCAGGGTCATTAACTACTAGAACAACAGGCCAGTCTTGTAAGTAGGTCAGTCAGTTTAAAAGTTCAATAAACTACTAATTAGAATTTCCTTAAAACTTAAACTGTAATTTTAATTAATTTATTATAAATTAATACGTATTGTGGCGGATCCGTGATAAATGTTCCGTGTGGTGACGGATTAAGAATATCCCAACCCCTATTCATCCCGTGGGTGTCGTAAGAGCCGTCTACAGGGAGCAAACAACGCTGGACAACAGCACTGCAAAGAGAAGAAAGCGTGGTATAGTAGGCTAAAAACTCCTTTCTAAGGAGAGGCCCTATGTCTAGCAGTGGACTATCAAAGGCGGTTGATGCGTATTGTATGGAAAATTTAACTTTCTGCACTTTACTTCATATTTACTATGTTGAAATTGTATTCATATTTGTAAATATTTACTTACCATGCCACATATATGAGTAAACTAAATACACAGCTAGTTACACAAATCTTAATTAAAACAATAGACGATTAACTTTGCATTATATGAATACACTAAATTAAGCCAATCTTCATTTCTAATGAAGCTGAGATCTTTAATCTAAAGCTCTTGTTGAAGGTAACGTTCTTCTTTTTTACACGCTTTATATTAGCTTCACTTGTATGTTTGTTTGTATGTTTGTTTGTAACCGTCTCCTTTGGGCGTGATTTTGACTGACTTTAAACGGTCAGAATTCGTTCAAACTTTGTAGATATATCGAGGACCGATGACAATACACTAATTACCACACTTTCTATAGAAAACTAAACTAAAAAAATAGAAAATAAATTTGAAAAAAAGCGTTGGGTGCCTGTTGTCAATATTAAAAAGCGTGATTTTTAGTTTTTTAAAACTATTTTTTTTTTAATGAGTAACGACAATAAAACCAGGCGGCTGTAGTACATACTTACCAAGTTAGTTGTATTAAAGAAAACATTCGAAATATGTTGAGCATCTAAGTTTAATCCCTGTTTGTGACAACAGTAATTTTAAACCCTTATATTTTAAGCTCTCTATATTTCTAAATAGGTACAGGTATACAAGGATTAACTGTTAATTTTACAGGATCCTAAACCAGTTGAGCCTTGGCAAGGAGTGCTGAGTGCTACAAAACTTAAGCCTGCATGCATCCAATTTAACCACAACATAAAGAAAGGTCAACCTTATGGACTGTATGGATCCGAAGATTGCTTATACTTGGATATATTTACACCAGGAGTGGATAAGGAAAAACGAGCAGTTGTAGTGTTTACTTACAACCACTATTTTTACAACTCGTATAACAAAACTAAAGATTATGCGCCAGATTTCTTCATAGAAGAAGATATTGTTGTCGTGACAATAAGTCACAGACTGTCTGCGTTTGGCTTTTTATCTCTAGAAAGCGAAACATTACCTGGAAATGCTGGGTTAAAAGATATTGTTTTAAGTCTTGAATGGATTAGAGATAACATTGAAAACTTCGGCGGAGATCCTAACCGTATAACCATGATGGGTGCAGAGAGTGGAGCAGCTGCTATTGATCTACTTATCCATTCCAAGGCTAAAAGCTTATTTAGCGCTGCAATTTTACAGAGTGGAACCTCGTGGACCCCAGCTCAATTACAGAAAGACGTTAGAGAAAGAGCTTTCAAACTTGGTAAAATGATGAATATTACAACATCTAGCGAAATCATATTACTAAAAGAACTTCGAAATGTAGATAATCTTCAAATAGCCAGTAGAGATGTCCACGCCTGTCCGGATGATTATTTTAAAGAAACTCAAAATAGTGTAATAGCCTTTGGCCCTATTGTAGAAAAGCAACCTAGAGGTTTGATCACAGAATACCCTGAATCCTCAGATAGTGAAATCAATATTCCCATCTTAATGGGTTATAACTCACGAGAAGGACTAGAACCTTCATTGGAGTATCTTAAAGAACCTAGGTTTTTACCATTTGTAAATAAAGACTTTCCGTTATTATTTCCTATACGTGTGAATTTTGCATTTGATCCCAGAAAACAAGTATTTTCTGATGCTAGAGTCGAAATCAAAAACTTCTATTTCCCTAAGGGTAAAATAAATGTAAAGAACGTTCCAGAAATTGTCACCTTAACAGGTGATACAATAGTAAATTATGCTTTGGATTATACAGCAAGGTTGTATTCGAAAAGATCATCAAAACCCGTGTTCTATTATCATTTTGATTACTACAGCGAGCTAAACGAAAATAAGAATGCCGTAATGAATCTTTCGGTTGTAGAAGATGGCACATGGGGAACGGCAACTGGAGACGAAATGTGTTACCTCTTTAAGTGTCCAAATCTTAAAAATGTTTACTTAAAACTTAAACAACAAGATTCAGAAGAACTGATTGTACAGAAGAAAATGCTTAGATTATGGGCCAATTTTATTAAATACGGGTGAGTTGTAACCTTATTTTCGTCTTGTGTGTGTGTTGTAAGTGTGTTTATTGTGGGATTGTCATGATTCGACATATATGTACATATGCACATATGGCATATATTTGACAGAAGTTACACAAGTAATTGTTTCGTTATTTTTCACCGAGTGAGTGAGGGTGTTCGATGACAAAAACATCTATGCGCACTGTTTGCATTACTTCTTAAATCTACTCCCGTTCAATTTGAAATACTTTCTCAGTTAATTAGTGCCACCTGAAAAAAAAACTCTATGTGACTATGCCCATTCCTTCTAACCTTTCTTTAAAAAAACGCATGGCGAAAGGACCACTTACTCAATTACTGACTTATCACGAAATCTGAAAAATTACTTGAGCGATCAGATGAAATTAGTAGCCAGCAGGCTAAGCAGGGCCGGATTAAAGGGACTGCAGGTATTCATAATGTTGTATGAGAATTAGTGATGTGCCGGATATCCGTATCCGTATCTGCGGATATCCAAGGGAGAAGAGAGATCCGTAACCGTATCCGTATCCGTGACTTTTTTGGCGGATCTTTCAATACATATTACATAGATGAAATTCTATATAGGTAATTTTGTATTCACTGTAAAACTCTTAGGTATGTGTTTGTAACACTATAAACAGCAACTTTTTTTCTGGCCAACGTCAAAATGAAAAAAAATTGGTTCTGCATTCAAATGACCACTCAAATGTTGTTAGTTTGTATGGGGAAACAATTTTTTTTCTTTCGTTTTCGGTGTTAGTCCAGAAGAAAAGTTGTTGTTTATAATGTTACTAATATGCACATCAGAGGTTTTCAGTAAATTTAAAATAACCGTGAATAATGGTTATTAGGTAGCTATGAAAAACTATTGAATTCTGTTCAGATTACTTTTTATTTCTTAAAACAAATATTTGGCACCTTTGTAATGCAATCATTTATCGTACTACACTAAATCAACTAGGCAGGTCGTAGGTACCGAAAGAACTATCTTTATAATGAGATCAATCAAACATCTTTGTACAAGGTGTCTCAAAAGAAAGTTTATATTTAGTAGATCGATTTAAAAAAAAGTAAGCAGTGTATCGAAAAAATGTTTATTAATTATTAAAGTACACAATTTGGGAATTTATTTCTTAAAAATAATATCGTCCAAATGTAGACCCTCGCGTTCGGGGCACTCATTTAATCGAACAGTTAAATTACTTATGACGGATCGGCAGGTGGACTCAGTGATGGCTGCCATTTCGTGACGGATATTTTCTTTCAAATGCGCCTGGGAAGTCGGTTTATTCGCGTAAACTTTAGATTTAAGATAATCCCATAGGAAAAAGTCCATAGGGGTTAAATCAGGACTGCGTGGAGGCCAATTTATGTCACCTCTCCTGGAGATCAATTTTCCTGAGAAAATTTCACGAACTCATGGCAGAGACATATTGGACGTGTGTGACGTTGCTCCGTCCTGGTTGAACCATGTTCTTGCCATGCCAGGAAAGTTTTGCAGTTCAGGCGCCAAGAAGTGGTCTAACATCTCCACATAACGCTCTGAATTCACTGTAACTGCACGCCCCCTTTCGTCTTCAAAAAAGTAAGGGCCGATAATTCCTCGCGCCGACATCGCAGCCCATACGGTCACTTTAGGCGAATGAAGGGGTTTCTGATGTTTGCGTTTTGGATTCATTGCACTCCAGTAGCGGCAATTCTGCTTATTTACATGTCCATTAACATGAAAATGAGCTTCATCCGAAAACAAGATGTTGGTAAACGTTGAAAAGCGCTCAATCGCCTGATTTACGAAGTCAAGCCTCTGACTGGCATCTTGGGGCTTTAATTCTTGCACCAATTGAATTTTGTAGGGGTGCAGCTTTAGGTCTTTGTGCAAAATGCGGTGTAATGATGATCTAGGCACATTTAAAGCACTTGCGCGCTTCCGAATTAAAAGGTTCGGGTCGTCACGAACAGACTGATTAACACTCTCCACGTTTTCTACCGTTCTTGATGACCTTGGTAGCCCGGATTTTAGTTTTTCCACCGTTGTACCGGTCTCTTAAAACTTTTTGACCCATTTTCGAATAAGAGGAATGCTTGGCGCATGATTTAAATGGCGAAAACCTCGAACACTACAGAACCTTCTACGCGCTACATTCACCAAATCACCGTTTTTGTAAAACTCTCGCACGCACAACGCACGGTCTGCTCCCGAGAAACGCTCCATAGCGACTGAATTCCCAAGACCCAGACTACAGATTGACATAACCCCCGCGCCCCTCGGACTCGTTGCGTTCACGCAGTAAGCTAAATAAATATAAACTTTCTTTTGAGACACCTTGTATTAGCTTATTAAAATAATGAAATATTTAAATATCAACGGCAAAGCGTCAAGTGGCGACAACTATGAAGGTCACGGGCTCCGATTGAGTAAGAAACTTAAGATCCGTATCCGTATCCGTATCCGCGGATCTTGGCACCAAATATCCGTAATCGGATCCATATCCGCGGATATACTTTGTTAACGATCCAGATTATTTGTTAAGAATCGCGGATACGGATACGGATACGGATACGGATCTTAAGTTTCTTACTCAATCGGAGCCCGTGACCTTGATAGTTGTCGCCACTTGACGCTTTGCCGTTGATATTTAAATATTTCATTATTTTAATAAGCTAATACAAAGATGTTTGATTGATCTCATTATAAAGATAGTTCTTTCAGTACCTACGACCTGCCTAGTTGATTTAGTGTAGTACGATAAATGATTGCAATACAAAGGTGCCAAATATTTGTTTTAAGAAATAAAAAGTAATCTGAACAGAATTCAATAGTTTTTCATAGCTACCTAATAACCATTATTCACGGTTATTTTAAATTTACTGAAAACCTCTGATGTGCATATTAGTAACATTATAAACAACAACTTTTCTTCTGGACTAACAGCGAAAACGAAAGAAAAAAAAATATTTCTCCATACAAACTAACAACATTTGATTGGTCATTTGAATTGAGGACCTTTTTTTTCATTTTGACGTTGGTCAGAAAAAAAGTTGCTGTTTATAGTGTTACAAACACATACCCAATAGTTTTACAGTGAATACAAAATCACCTATATAGAATTTCATCTATGTATTGAAAGATCCGCCAAAAAAGTCACGGATACGGATACAGTTACGGATCTCTCTTCTCCCTTGGATATCCGCGGATACGGATACGGATACGGATATCCGGCACATCACTACTCAGTAGTATAAAAGGTTCCTTGTCTTTGTGCTGTGTGTGTCGGAATGTATTGAACCGCTAGGAATAACACTTTCACCAACTTTTATTTGGAACAAAGTAATTGTCCAAACTATTCATCAGTTTATTTGTTTTTATTTTTTCAGTAACCCTACACCCGATAATGATGAAATACTTGAAGGATTGAAATGGCCCACTTACACCATTGAAAACAAGGAGTATTTGGACATTGGCAAGGAGCTGAAAATTAAAACAGATTTAAACAAAGAGAGATATGAATTCTGGGACAACTTTATTGAGAAGTGGGGTCAAAGGGCTGTCAATGGAATTATTAGTGAATCTATAAAAGATGAGTTGTAATGAAAATAAATGTTTGTTTTTTATTTATTATTTATTGAGTGTTGCTATGTAAACAATCTACAAGATAATAACCTTCGTCTAATGTTAATTAGTATATAAAATTTCTCAATTTTAACGTAAATTTTATATTTACGACGAAACATCCTATGTCAAGCACTAGCAGTCTTTCCACCAAGTACCTACTTCAATAAGAGACTGCTAGAGTTAGAAAGAGATAGAGCAAAAAGAAATAGATGAGGTAGAGCTTATTGTAGTACTGTATGAGTAGTTTTACTTCAGGAGAAGATGACGTACATATAGAAACGAAAAGTAGATCTAAGACCTTTTTCCTGCAAAATATAAAAAATACATATATGTATATACGTCATAAAATGTAAACGGCCATATCCCTGACAAAGGATGGCAGAGATGTACTTAAAAATCTCCATTTATCCAAGTGTAATTTGGTATCATTGATGTAATGGAGCAACCCTCTTCGTCCTAGTTCACGGCTTCAAAAATTAAAGACAGGATTTCTCTTTCATTTTAAATGTACACCATTTGAAAGAAGAAAAGTACTAACCATGAGTTTGTCAGGCTGTCCGGTGAGAAGACGTGCCATTAGGCTATAAACAGCTTTTAAGAAAGTAGCACCGACTTCAATGTAAGGGGTATTACATGAACGACTAGCGCCTCGATTCTGCTATTTTAATATTGTATCAATAGACTATCGTCGGAACAGCTGTACACTTTTTGTTTTCTACTAACTATTTAAGACCAATGGCCTGCCTGATACAAATGTCGTCGATGTCTTTGTAATAGTTTGGCAAACGGTATATTTTAAATATGTAAGGAAATTATACATTTAACCTTTCAGATATTTTTTAGCCAGCCATTGTCACTACATCCACTGTCACGTTAAGATAAAATATCAGAATTGAGGTCTATTCACACTATGAATTTATGTTAGTAGAATACCGATATTTTGACCGCTAACAATTTCATCTCAATGGCATCCTCAATGCATATCCTCATATCATATCCTCAAGTACAAATCATAAAAAGAAAAATCGGTCGTGATGCACGGTAATGCTAGGGACAGTAGGAAAATGTGTATATGTATTAGTGATGTAGAATGTCGGGTGCCTTCGTATTTTTACATGGTTTGTTCGATTGTTATACTGTACTATTGAGTGACTTAATTTGTATTGTTCAAAAAATGCTGGTACTTGTGTAACAATTTATTCTTCTGCGTTCTCTCTCAAATTTTGCAATGCCTGGAAAAGGCTTCTAAGTTGGGACTACTACATATAATATTATAAGATCATTGATGTACACTTGGTTGGCAAATAAAGATTTGATTTGATTTGATTTGACATCTCAAGATCGAGTCAAAGGAATGACAGTGGCTTGTCGTTAAGATAAAATAGCAGAATTGAGGCCCTGTTGGTCTAGTGGTTGACGATTCCGACTGTTAATCTAGCGGTCATGGTTTTCATCCCCACCTAGAATAAAAATTGTGTGATGGTCACAATCACTTGTTCTGTGTAATATTTCTTTTTTATGTATGTATTTAAAAATGTATGTGCCCTAAGTCAAAGTCAAAATATCTTGTTTCATCTCTTTATTTTGCCGAATGGCGACAATATTCTCGCCTCTTATTACGTGAGTGAGATTATGGTTATAGTCACCAAATTGCGAGTGGATATTTAATAAATAATATAAAAGACGTGTGTGCAAAAAAAACTGAATTCATAATTTCTTAACTTTACACCCTCCACTTTGGGGACAGTATTTTTTCTTCTAAACTGAAAAGGTTATAAATAACAAAGTTCTTATTTAAATAACGTAATGAGAATACAAATTGCGAGCCTGCTCCTTTGCCCTTCTTGTAAAAATCTGCTGGACGGGAGGCAACAAACTCTTCAAAGGCATTTTGTACTGCCTCTCGGGAATTGAATTTTATACCCACTAAAAAGTTGTCTAAATTTTGGAAAAAGTAATAGTCGAAAGGTGCAAGGTCTGGTGGTCACATCTGCAACCAGCTTTGGTCAATCGGTCGTCCCCACTGCTCCTTCACGACAACGCGCGACCCCATACTGCGCAACAGACAGTCTCCAAGCTGCAAGAGCTGGGGTTGGAAGCTCTCCCTCATCCGCCATACTCACCAGACCTTGCACCTACCAACTATTACTTTTTCCAAAATTTAGACAACTTTTTAGTGGGTAAAAAATTCAATTCCTGAGAGGCTGTACAAAATGCCTTTGAAGAGTTTGTTGCCTCCCGTCCAGCTGATTTTTACAAGAAGGGCATCAATAAACTGCCAATGCGTTGGCAAAGATGCGTCGATTGCATGGGTGATTACTTCGAATAACAGAAATAAAAAAGTTTGAAAAAATAAGTACTTTCACTTATTGCAAACTAAACGGCAATTTCATAGGTAAAGACCTAATATATTATAATGTCAATCGTCCAACTCCACATCATAGATTTAAGTTTACCTACTTATTATAATTTGATATTTAAATAAAAATCCTGTGTGTAATTCAATTTGATTAATCTGTTATTTATGTCAACAGTGAACAGGGTGTGACAATTTAGAACGTCTATAAACAAATATTTCCTGACATAGATCAAATTAACAGATAACGGCGGATGGTTACTTGTAGACCATTTAATATCAAATAAAGATAACACTTCATAAATTGTACGATTAGTGTTTATCATAAGGACACGTCAGTGGGAGAATTATGTTTACAGAACCGAAATACAAAAATATTTTATTAACTGAAGAATTTTAAAATGGGTGGTTCAAAGTACTGCCTGTTGATAAGTGTAATTTTGTTTATAGAAAGTATTAGAGCTAGTGTTATTGTAAATACTGATTTAGGTAAAGTTGACGGCGTGGAAGTAAAATCAATAATAAAAGATGAAAAGTTTTATTCATTTATGGGTATTCCTTATGGGAAGGCCCCTGTTGGTGAACTAAGGTTCAGGGTGAGTGCATTGTGTTTACATAACGATATAAATGTATTCATACTAAGGCAATAGACTGAATTTTGTGTTTGTATTACGAGTTAAAATAGATATCATTACAATTTGATGCAGTTAGATAGACGTTAACAACATTCGATTTATTTTCAATATTCATTTACGATAGATAGTCAGAAAAAGTTTTATTTTCAGCATTTATTTTCACAATCACAACACTAAAATAATCTATAATAAGATATTTGTTTTACATTACATGTGTAGGTTAAAACTTAAGGTCCCTGACACAAAAGTTATAATAACGTTCGTTGAAGGCATCCCGGCGACGAAGTGCTACAATTTCATACTCTATTATAAAGTTGACAATACTTGAAGCAAGTTTTTTAATAAAATTTCATTGCAGAATCAAAGTTCTTTTCTATATAATAATATTTTATGTTTTTTCATTTACATTTTAGGCTCCAGAACCACGTGAATCCTGGACAGATGTATTGAACGCAAAAAAGGAAAAATTGCCGTGTACACAGTTTAATTTACCCATCAGAAATATTAAAAACTATGGAGTATTTGGTCAAGAAGATTGTCTCCACCTTGGCATACATACACCCAAACTGCCAAATGCCAATGAATTCCTTAATTTACCAGTTGTAGTTTTTCTATACAATGAAATGTTTCGTGTGAGCCATAATGGAACTAGAGACTTTGGACCGGATTTCTTTGTAAAAGAAGACGTTGTGCTAGTCATGATAAGCCATAGACTGGCTGCATCAGGTTTCTTGGCCTACGAAGATGAAGTGCTTCCAGGAAACAATGGCATACGGGACGTTATATTGGCTCTTAAATGGATTCAACGAAATATTCACAAGTTTGGTGGAAATGGTTCTAACATAACACTCATGGGTAGTGAAGGAGGAGCGGCCTTAGTAGAAATTCTTCTTCATTCTCCTAAAGCTGAAGGACTATTCAGCAGAGTGATATTGCAAAGTGGAACCTTATTTGATTCTTCATATTTTCCTAAATCTCCCAAGCATAAAACTACTCAATTATTAAAATACTTAGATAAGTCATCTATAACAAGTACTTACACACTCAAAGAATTGTCATCCTTAACGCCGGAGGAAATTGCATTAGCAGAGCCGGAGTCAGTAGATGCCGACGAAGGAAGAGCTTATCAAAGGCCAAAGGTTCAGTTCGGACCTGTAATTGAACCCAATCACCCTGATGCCATTATAACCAAACTACCTGAAGATGGTCCTTTGAACATCAATATACCTGTAATGATTGGTTACAATTCACGAGGCAGCTTAGAAATGGCGGAAAGGTTTCTGTATAGACCTCAGTACCTTTCAACTGCTGATAGAGATTTTCTGTTATTGTTTCCTATACGAGATGATTTTCACTTTGAAATTAATTCTCAAGTGTACTTTCAAGGTGTTAAAGACATAAAAAAGTTTTATTTTGAAGAAGAATATATTAAAATAAGTAAGCCCGGTGAATATTTGACATATACCAATGATATGTTGTATTTTTACGCCATCGATTATGCTGTAAGAAAGTACGTGAATGAGTCTAACTCCGCAGTTTACTATTACACATTCGATTATAGTGGAGAACTTAATATGAGAAAAAATGACATTCTTAAAAACGCTAATACAATAGAAGGCACTTGGGGAGCAACGATGGGTGATGAACTTTGTTATTTATTTGTTTGCAAACGAATAAAAAATACTTATAAAAAAGTGCTGGCAGATGTAGAATCTGAAGAATTAAAAGTTTTGAGAAATATGATTAAAATGTGGACAAATTTTGCCAAATTCGGGTAAGTTTCGTAGCACAATATGTTGAGGTAATGGACCTACAAACATTAACATAAAACATTTATACTGTACGGATGGTGTAGTGTTTTAATTAGTCGTCACGCCTCTTCCTACTGCGGTGAATGTTGTAGATTCGATCCCCACGTAGGACCACACTTTGAATGAGCCGCGAATTGTTGTTCTGAGTTTGGGTGTTCTTTGTGTCCGTTTCACGTATGTTTGATGTCTGAAAAGTCCTCTAAAGTCTTAAAGTCCCCCGGATATATTCCTAAAGCGGGAGTTGTCTTTATAAAAATAATAGTTTATTAAAGTAATATATGAAAGCAACAAATTCATTATATATGTAATTAAATACTATAGAATTACAAATTAATTATGCAAACATAAATGAAGAAAAAAACTGCAGTATTGTTGTTCCTGGCGCTATAGCAAAACAATTATTATTCTTAAAACATGAAGTTTGTGTTTCTTTAAGTAGTAACCTAGAATTTTGAAGATCGGTGACGATCTTTTGATCTTTCGATCGATTGTTGCTTATAACTTTGCCCTCTTAGTCACATTTATGGGTATAGCTTTATTCGCCATTACGTTACAGAAAATGTCCTAAATGGCTTCAAGAATGGTATCATATAGCCATGCCTTTTTTTATTCAACTTGGGCTACCATCACACTTTTACTTCGACCTTCTACATTTTTGTTTACTCATAGAACAATTTCTAAATGTAAATTTCGTCAGGTTTTTGTCTATAAATCAATTCCTTATCATTCATTCATTCATTATCATTTTCATTCATCATTCATTATCAATTCATCATCAACAGCCTACTGCTGTTCCAATCAATTAGTAAAATAGAATTATGATATAACATTCGATATCTAATTACAGCAATCCAACTCCTCCTGGCAGTGATTTCATCTGGACTCCAGCGACAAAAGAAAAGAAAGAATGTTTAGTAATCAGTGACAAGCTTAAAATTGAGAACAACCTTCACCAAGACAGAATCGACTTTTGGGACGATTTCATGGCTAAATACAAAGCAATGGCTGTCGATGGTGTAATCAAAGACATAAAGGATGAATTATAAAAATAAAAATTTAGTACTTTAATTATAACTCAATAAAAGATTTTATATTTATGTTGTGTTTACGTACTATCATTCCAAAATAATTTACATTTTGAAATCCCCGCCATAGTTGTACAATTTAGACATTGTTTTTGTTCTGTAATTTATTTCTAAAATGGAAATTAAGATTACCACGAGATACGACGACAAAGACATCCAATCCACATAAGAGTTAGTACCTGTGCCTGTACTTGATTCACTGCTTAATACCTACGTATGTATATAACACAGATTCTCTTGTCCATGATAGGAAACACTGTCCAGATACAGGTGACCCTAGTTTAAGAGACAGGGTTTATCATTTATGTTTACAGATTTCTACAACCTACTAATATATATTATGTCTATGTTCTACTTCTAGTTGTAATCATCGTAACATTATCTGTTTGCTACTTGCATCTGTACTTTTGGTTGAATAAATTCAAATACAAACCTTTAGTAAGGGATAACTTGAGTGAGTATCGATCGATTATCTTAGTGTGACGGGAAGTATAGATGTTTAATCCCTAATCAGACAGAGTATTTCACACACCTGCAACTAGTCAAACTCTAATATTGACCATCAACGAACCAAACCGTGAACGCCCATTCCAATCATTGGATTAAAAAGGACGGTCGACGATATACTTCCTTTCTTTTCAATAATTCTGCCAAAGTACCATATTTTAACTTCAGTCTATTCAACTTTCGTAAAGTTTTGCTCGTGGTAATAGAAATGAATAAATATTCCACAATATTCATATCATAACTTGCTTCTTCTCAGTAATCTTCTCAGTTATACTGCGGAATACAGAAGATAAAAACTCTCATGCAATCGGGACTCTAACTTGATTTTTGAACGATATACTATCAATCAAAACTTAAAAAAAGCTTAGTAACGATGCAAATCATTGCAAAAAATTTTTTCGTTCTTTTGTAACCATTTATGTTACAATATCATAAATATAGTAGACGTATTTCACGTTGATATTTATGAGGTAATTATAATAAAATTATTTGAGAATTAATGAAATAATACATCAATTTCTGATTGGTAGGTTTTAACCATTTATTATCAATCAAAGATACCCCAAAGACCACGTAATACATAGATAGCAATATTCCTGCTGTTATCAATTACTTTACCCAAGCGATGAAGTATCATTCGAAATGCGTTAACTCCTAATCTATGTCAATAACTCCCATAAATTAATAAATTTTAATAGTAAATATGAATGCCTTACAATTAATACTCACAATTTTTATAATAAAACAGTGCTTTTGTAATGAAACTCCAAAAATTTATTTGAAACAAGGTGTTTTATTAGGCAGAGTTGAAAAAACTGTTTTCAAGAAGGAAGACTATTTTTCATTTAGAGGGATACCTTATGCGGAGCCACCTACAGGACCATTGAGGTTTAAAGTGAGTATTAGCACAGTTTTTGACTTATACAAAAACAGCGATTTTTAAACGATATTTAAACGATTTCTCAGATGAGCAAGTAATGGCAAACAGGGAAAGAAAACATTATTCTTTGAGCGAATGATGCCTAGATCAAATTTGTCAAAAGATTTGAGTTGCAATTACGAGGTTTCATTAGATTCGTTGCAGTTATGAGTCTCTTATTATATTTGATGTCAAGTTTTGTTACTTACTTGCAAATATTGTTTTAATTCTTTTAAGTACAAAAAAAAGTACTTATAAAATACTCTTCGTTGGTAGCCACATCGCTTGAGAATGGTTGGACTTAACGAATCATTTCAGTTTATGCTAATAATAGGCTAAAAAAGGTTTTCAGGAAAATAAATTTATAAAGTAGTTAAATACGAAAATTTAAACAAATTTCATTCGTGTCAGCTTGCATAAATATTCATTCATCCGATTTATTTAGCGAACTTTGGTTAGTCTGTTAGTTTACTATAACTTAAACTTATCAAAAAATTCATCTTTGTTAATGTTAATCAATTTTTTTAAGAGAATGTAATATCGTTTCAGCCACCAAAGCCACACACTGGATGGAAGGAGAACTTAAAAGCCTTTAAACGTAAACCAACATGCATGCAATTAAATACCCGAGGCCGCCTTTCAGAACGTACTGGAATATCTGGTTCAGAAGACTGTTTGTACATTGACATATTCACGCCAAATATGGAAGGAAAAGCCCCAGTTATAGTGTTTGAGTACAACGACAACTTTAGAACATGGTTCAACGGCACTGATACTTATTCACCAGATTTCTTCATTGAAGAAGGTGTTATCGTTGTAACGATTAGTAGTCGACTTGGTATATTTGGTTACTTAACCACGGAAGACAATGTCATGCCAGGTAATAATGGACTAAGAGACTTTATACTAGGCCTGGAATGGCTCAAAAATAATATAGAACAATTTGGTGGAGATGCATCTAAGATAACATTGATGGGCAGTCGTGGAGGAGCCACCACTACCAATATACTTCTTTATTCGGAAAAGGCAAAAGGTTTATTCTCTGGTGCTATAATTCAAGGTGGTTCTTCGTTAGAATCTACGTATTTTGTAGATAAACCCCGAAAAAAGGCATTTGAAATTGGAAAGTTTCTAAACTTGACCGTTACAAATAGCCTCGAGCTATTCGAAGGTTTACAAAATGTAGATGCAAACGTAATTATAAAAGCTGATGTTGATCTTATAATGAATCTAGATGTTAATGATTTGAAAGACTCAGATAAACTTCTTTTTATACCGACTTTAGAAGGGGAAATTGAAGATGCAGTGATTAAAACTTTACCAGAAAATGGAAAAGTATTAAATGACGTTCCAGTGATTATTGGTTTTAATTCTCGAGCAGGTATAGATTCAATAGTTCACAATTTTTTCGATCCCAATTCAATGTCAAGCAAGAGCGGAAATAAAGTATTTCAACTACCTATTAGAACGAATTTCGAATTCAAAGAAAATGGTAAGAAATACAAAGAAGCAAATAAGGCTGTCATAGAGTTTTATCACAAAGGTACACCACCTTATTATGGTAATCTTATGGAGCATGCGGTATACGTCGGTGATGTTTTACATGTTTATCCTTTAGCATTAACTGCAGAAAATCTGTCCAAAAGTTTATCTTCTCCTGTGTTTTTCTACCTCTTTGACTTCAGAGGTTTGTGGAATGAAAATAGTAACGAAGTAGGAATATATTCAAGAATACCACTAGGCAACACTGGTGCTCTAGTTCTTGATGAACTTTGTTATTTACTTGTCTGCTCGCGTATGAAGAAAACTTACAAAGAACTCATTAAACTACCAAGTGAGCAACCAGAGATTAAACTAATGAAGAAACTTGTCCGGTTATGGAGCAACTTCGCAAAAACTGGGTAATAATTTATTATAACACAAATTTAAATATCACTCTGTCTTTATAAATGTAAGCTTAGTAGATGAAACTGTCTTCAGTCTTGAAAATCTTTATAGTGTAGTGAGAGTCATTATTGAAATTGCTGTGTATTGAAAAAAATATTGTAATATTTTAGTATAATCCAAATTCCCTTAGAAGAACCCATCAGGAATTTATTAATTTTCTCTGTATTCAGTAGAAGAGGTCGATATCAAATACAAAAGATACATGTGTTTTAAAACATTTCAGAAACCCGACACCAACTGAAGAAGATCCCGTTTTAAAGAAATTTACATGGGAGCCGTTCAACGAATCTGAGTCTAAATATTTACACATCACCAAACTTTTGAAAATAAAAACCAACCCTCTTGGTGATAGGAAGCAATTCTGGGATGATTTGTTAAGGAAATATTCCAATGAAGCCGTGGATGGTGTCATCGTGGGAGATGAAGTTGAAGAAGAAGAAGAAGAAATTCCCACTGAGGACTCTAAAGACAAACAAGAGACCATCGAAGACTTTGTTGCCCAAAACGCTCCAAAAGAGGAAGGTGCAGACGATGTACTATTTGTCAATAATACACACGAAGAGCTTTGAAAACTTTGTGAAAAGTCATTTAGTTGTTCATTTCTGTCAAGTTCATTACATTACGAGAGGCTTAATTATCTTCGAGCTTTAGGCAAAACAATACCTATAGTAAATACAGCTACAGACTCTTCTCTGTTATGTAAATATGGGCTTTAGTACATACATATATATACATATATATATATATATATATATGATAAGTTAAGATAAGTTAAGAAAATCGAAAATGCCCTAAAATTAGAATATTGCTAAATAAAATTATATTCCATAAAATTCTAATAATAAATACATAGATTTTTCTAGTGGTTTTAGTAATCGAGTCGTTATAATGTTCACTGCTAAGCCATATTTGCTGACATACCTACTTATGAAAATTAAACTAATTATTCGATTAGTTTAGCATACAGATAATTTCAATGTACATACATATATGAAATACATTAAACGATGGTTTTATTTAATTACCACAAAGACATGCTTCAGAAAGAAAGAAACGTTTAAATAAACGTTTATATACCACCGTTTATATATTCAGGTGGTACTAGCTTTGAACATGGGGTTCCCACACGGTTCGTCTACTCGTCTGTAGATGACCCGAGGTATGTCGGGGCACCAGGGACTTCCTTTCTAGGGTATACCTAGTTCCCCGGCTATTAGTACACGGCGACGGCGTGCGGTTTTAGTCGGTTCGAGTCCGACATGCCACCGACAGGTGGTATCCGAGGGGATAACCGCAAGGAAAAAAAAAAAAAAAAAGGTGGTACTAGCTTTAACAGTGGTGTACTGTTCGAGCTATATCATAACATCAAGATATTTCCTAATTATCATTAACAAAATGTCAAGAAATATTAATATCTAGGTTTTTTTTTTTGAAGCAATATTTTTTCCTTTTCTAAGATTATTTTATAATGTGTTAACGTTTTAAGATCGCCGTACAGTTTTATAAGAACTAATAAATTGAGTTATACATTACTTTCATATAACCATTGGTTTAGTATCTATGATATACTATAACACCGGCAGTGGTGAGCAAGATTTTAAATAAAAACGTTAGTGCTCCAGAGACAGGAACCTGTATCTTAAGCCTGTATCAGTTCCTTAAACCAAAATCTGTTTACTAAATCTGCCTGAACGTATTGTCTGTTACTGATATCTATTACATATTATAAAATGAAGTCCCCCGGCCGCGTCTGTCTGTCTGTCTGGATAAACGCGATAAACTCAAAAAACTAGCAAACGATTTTTTGTACGGTGTACACCAATAGATAGTGTGATTCCTGAGGAAGGGTTAAGGGTATTCATTATGGTTTTATGTAAATTTACTGAAATATAACGATTATTGTAGAAAAGGTAGCAAAAAATCCTATGTTATATAACTCCGTTACCGAAATTCACACAGGCGATGCTGGGGCGGAATCTAGTAACTTAGAACTGAAGGGAACTTTAAGAATTCTTGTATACGAATACATCATAATTTTTATATGAAGTTTTCTATCAAATATTTTGTGATACGTCGTTGTAAATTTAACAATTTTCCAATTAATAACCAATAAACAACAGGAATAAACATTCTGCAATACATTTTGTGGTCATACTACCATACCATGAGCCGATCTTGTCTAAAGAGAAAAATTACACCGTGTATACTCACAAGTCCTGGAGTTCATAAGCGTCTAAGCTACACACGATCAACCTACACAACTGTGTGTAACTACACAAACATACATAATACTTACAAGTATATTATACTCGTAAGTTTTCAATTTCTACATCTTAGGATTTAGGTCTTACTTTTAGCTGTGTACATTGGCTACATGAACAAATACAAAATCAAAATTCCACAACTTGTTTTAAAGAATATGCTAGCGACATCTGTGCCATCGTGCAAAAACTACCTTTAAGATCTAACCAAACTATAAAAGAAAGGTAGATGGCGTTACAAGTCGAAAAAGTTTCTCTTTACTTACACGCCCGATTCCCAAAGGAGTTTTCACATTGTGGGCTTGGTGGGTATTCCAAGTTGGGCCCTGCTCATTCAATAGAGGGCAAGCTTATAACCGTCAGTCAGGCACTTTGGCAATTAAAGTTAATAATAATAATAATAACATTTATTTCATAGTAAAGTTTTACAGTTTCATTACATAGGTTATCATAATAGTTAGGTATATAACTTAGGCTATAATTAATTGGAGTGATTGCTGTTCTCCTAGATAGGCAACTAAGTTGCCTGTGTTTAGGAGTTACAGTCCCTCAAGTGCGCATATGGGGGTGAATGTCGTGTGCGTAGCGTGCGTGCGCATGTGTGTGTGTGGGTGTGTGTGTGTGTGCGTGTACGTGTGTGTGTGCGTGAGTGTATGTGTGTATGAGTGCGTGTGTGTATATGCGTGTGGTTAGGTGTTTGTGGCCTTACTTGGTTTCAATTTTCGTGTAAATAATAATATATATTGTGCTTAACCGTTTAGGAATCGCTCTGTTTCGTCATAATTCAGGTTTTGGAGGTAGGATTTAACAGTCTTTGACAGTAGATGTTTGGGCAAATGATAGATAGGGCACACTGCATTAAGCTTGTTATAAACAGATGGACCAAGGTAGGAAGAAAATCTTTTAAAGAAAGTTGAGCCCGCAGGAGGGATTGAACAAATTAGGTCTTTACGACGTTTGTTAATCGGTAAAAGCGGTGTGAGACGGTGTTGTAATCCTGTTAGGTGTAATAAAAATAGTTGTCTCACACTGAGTAAATTGCACTTCTTATAAAGCTCGGTTGTTGGAAATAAAATAGGCCTGAATGTAGCAACTTTTAAAATAGCACGATGAGCTATTTCCAGTGGTCTTAGAATTGTTTTAGCTGCACCTCCCCAGCAAGGAATACAATAAATTATTATGGAGTGACAGAGGGCATAATACACGTTACGGATAACCGCTTGATTGGCTACGTGTCGTAAGTTTTTGAAGACATATATTAGTTTACGAACGCGTCCCGAGAGAGTGTCAATATGTTGTCTAAATTTAAGGTGTTTATCCAAGATAATGCCGAGGTATTTAATTTGGTTAACTGGAGTTATTGCTAGGCATTTGCAATTCAGGTGAAGTTGAGACTGACAATAGTGAGCTATTAGATTTATAGGGTTTTTAGGTTGAGATAGTGGGGTAAGCGAGAAAGTCATAAAATTTGTTTTGGTAGTGTTAAGAGTTAGAGTGTGTGAGGCAAGCCAGGTTAAAACAGTACAGAAACCTCCTTGAGCCGCAGTTTCAAGTTCAGACCATGTGTTTGCATGAAAAGTTATGGCCGTGTCGTCTGCAAAAGATACAATGTTTGCGTGTGGAATGATTAAGTTACAAAGGTCGTTAATAAAGACAAGGAATAAAGTAGGGCCTAAGATACTACCTTGAGGCACACCGTAATGGATGGAAAATTCATCGCCAATGTAGTTGTTGATATTAACAAGTTGTGTCCGATTCGTTAGGTAGCTTTTTAGTAGTTCTAGTGGTGGGCCCCTGATTCCTGCATTTTCAAGTTTGATTATGAGGGTAGAAATTGGCACAGTATCGAAGGCCTTGGCTAGGTCCAAGAAAATAGTCAGAACTTTTTTTTTCTTGTTAAGTTTTTCCACAATGTTATTAACTAAATTTTGGACTGCATCACACGTAGATTTGTTTCTACGGAAGCCAAATTGTTGGGTTGAAAGCAACTTAAAGTGCTCCAGGTAGCTGATCAGTCTCTTATTTATAAGTCGTTCAAGTATCTTGGATGAAGCACTAAGTACAGCTATGGGTCGATAGTTGTTTGGCGACTGTCCATCTCCACCCTTAAAAATCGGATGAATGATGGCTATTTTGAAAGAGGTAGGAAAAATAGCTGTTTCAAAACAGAGGTTGAAAATATAGCTTAATGAGGACACTAAAAGTACATTATATCGTCTAAGGAATGACAGGGGAATACCATCCCAACCTACAGCAGCAGTCACCCTTAGTGTGTTTATCACAGACGAAATTTCAACGGGGTCTGTTGGCTCTAAGACGAAGGAATTATTATGCTTTGAAGTGCAATTAGGTGGTGTACTTGATGAAGTGTAGGTGTTTTGTATTTTTTCGGCGAGATTTTTTCCAATGTTTACGAAAAATTGGTTAACACTATTACAAGACTGTTGAGGTGACGTCGAGAGTGATAACAGTTTGTTTGACATATTAGTAGGTTTGCTTGTGTTTGTTATAAGTCTAATAGAATCCCAGAGTTTTTTGGGGCTGTGACTTGCCTTAATTAGCTCTTGTGTGTCATACTGCCTTTTTACTTTTTTTAGAATAGTTGAGCAAAACTTTCTGTATCGTTTATAGGTGGTGAGAATGGTAATATCATCTGGGGCTTGTTTAACTTTTTTGTGAAGTAAATCTCTATGTCGTATACACCGTAAGAGGCCTGGTGTTATCCATGGTTTAAGCACTCTTTTCCTAGCAGAGACTTTAACAGTAGATGTACATTTGGCTATAGCATTTTTAACTATTTTTATAAAGTTGTCGGTTGCATTATTTGGGTCTGACATGGAGAAAATGGGTGTAAAATCTGTATTTTCCATAAGTTGGTCAAGCGCAACATAATCGACCCTGCTAACCTCCCTTGGACTAGCTTCTTTAATTATGTTTTTGGCCATACAGAGCAAGGTCGGGTAGTGATCGGTTATCGCCGTTTCGAAGAGGAATGTAATAGTTTGAAAAGTTGTTCTCAACATTAAGTGGTCAATGCAGTTCTTGTCTCGCGTGGGTTGAGCATGTGCTGGGAGAAAACCGTGATAGGCCAAAAATGTAAGGTAAGATTGACTGCGTGTGTCGTTAGTCATAGGTTTAATGTCGATATTGATATCGCCTGTTAGAACTACAGACTTATGGCTGTTGAGGGTTGATAGGATATTGTTAAGGGCAGATAAGAAAGGGTCAATTAGGTGATTAGAAGGGGAGCGATATACACAGATTATTGACATGGAGTCTAACGTAATTAGCAGACCAGAGGCCGTTTC